CACCTCAACTGCAAATCGAACGGATCAATTAGGTAAAATGCCTAAATGTTTTTTTAATTTTTTCAATAAATACGAATTATCATAATACGTTTTTAAGTTAGGATTTCATTATAATTTGATGTTTTAGAGTGTTAGGGTTGATTAGAATTAGGGATTTTTCGGAATTATGACGTTAGGGTTTCGATTTAGAACTTCGAATTAAGGCTCGAAACTATAATGTTGTTGAAAATGTGAAATTGTGAAATTGTGAACTATTGTGTGTACTATTGTGTGAATTAGTGTGTGAAGTTCGATTTTTTGGAATTAGGACTACAAATTGGATTTCGAATTGTGAAATTGTGGACTCGATTACAATTAGGTGTTTCGCGAGTGTAGCCGAGAGCCGAGGCCGTTTGATTTTCATTATTTCGAGCCGATTAGTTTATTACGGAAGAAGCTAAAATGGAATTTAATTGAGTTGAGTTGCAAGTTATATTGAGGAGCCTATTATTTTTCTAATAAATTACATATAATCCTTATAGTTTTTTTCTTAATTGTTTGTAGATAAATGGATTCATCATCCTCCTCACAGCCTCAGCAGTACAGTGTCCATCCCGGTCCGAGGGATGGCACTCTTCTATATCTCCAGTACTGCCACCGGTCGCAGGCGGTATTTAATAATGCGCCGGGAGCTCGTGACACGACGCTCTCAAACCGCCGTTTCGACACCCAGTTCTGGGCGGCTTTGTCAAGCCAGCCACGGTCGGTTTGGGATGTCATCGACCGGACTGGTTTCGGACCCTTGTTTCGAATGGGTCGAATCCAAGCCGACAACAGCCTCCTTACTGCTCTAGTGGATAGGTGGCGCCCAGAGACGAATACGTTCCATTTCGATTTCGGCGAGGCCACCATCACGCTCCAGGACGTCCAAGTCCTATTCGGTCTGCCAATCATTGGTGCTGCTGTTGTGGGAGTGACTAGAGATCTAAGACCCCTACAGTGGCGAGAGAGGTGCAAGGAGTTGCTAGGGTACCAACCCTATGTCCAGGTATATTTTTTCATAGAATTTTGTTTAAATATATGTCAACTCAATTTTATATGTCAACTCAATTTTGTTTAAATATGGAAAAACAACTCTCAGGATCCTCCCACCACCGAGGAAGAGCAGGCAGCCCAAGATCCAAAATATTGGGACATTAAAGGCCAGTATCTTAATGATGGCGGGTTGGAGGAGGAATGCAACCGTGTGTTGCAAGAAGGCCAACCGGACATCGTGTACGAGCAGAGGGCGAGAGCCCTTATCTTCTGGTGCATTGGGTCCTTCATCTTCCCCGACCAGCGGGCGAATGGCGTCCCACTTTACTGGCTGGACCTGCTGCAGGACATAGATGCTGCTAAGGGGTACAGTTGGGGTTCAACGCTCTTGGCCGGAGTGTATCGAGCGTTGTCAACCTCGTACAAGGCCAAGGAGAAGTGGCTGAAGAACTGCGTTCAATTGATCCAGGTAAGTTTATTTAATTGTTATTTGAAAATTTAATATTTTATTTTTTCTTACTTCGACTAATACCTAATACAAAAATTAATATCCATTTGTGTAGGTTTGGGCATGGGAGCATATCCCTCGTATTCGCCCAATAGTGAAGACCAGTGTGTTTGATAATCTGCCTGGTTGTCCATTGGGAGCGAGGTAATCACCGTTATTTTTATTTAATCCGTACATTTTTTCCATTATCAAATTTTGTGATTACAAACTTTTTTTTCTCTCTAATTTTTTTAAGGTGGAATGGACCGAAAAAGAGGTCCAACATAGCCATGACATTGGCCGCTTACCGGGATCAGTTGACAGGGCTGGGAGAGTATGATGTAATATTCTTAATTCCTATTACTTGATTTATCTTTCTTTTTTTGTTTCTAATTTTGTAATAACTTAATTACTAATTCAATTGTTATTTTTTTACAGTTCGAATGGCAGCCCTATCAACAACACCTGCAGAATGATACTCTCCCGGAGGCGTGCTCAAGAGATCCACAAATATGGATGTACCGGGGGTGGATTTTCAGTTGGAACACCCGAGAGGTACACCTGCTTGACAGGGTCCTCCGTCAATTTGGGTGTCGCCAGTCCATCCCCCACGATCCGATCATTCTGGATGAGCGCGACTGGGACACACACCATAAGGGTCAGGGGATGACTGGGAGGGCGTTTTATGATTGGGCTGCATTCCATGTGCCGTTTCTGAGGTCGTGGACAGAAGAAATAGAACAACGTCTCCTCCCATTTGCCCCCGTGCACGACTATCCACAGCCATAGCAGGGTTACCTTGAATGGTTTCACAGCAGGACTGTGAGATTCATCAATAACCCTGCCAATTACCCGGTGTTCCAGCAGGCGGGCGGGTATCAGCCACTTGCCGAGCGGTTAGGCTGTCAGGTAATAGTTCATTATTTGTGTTTATTATTATTATTATTATTATTATTTTTTTTATTTTTATTTTTATTTTTTTTTGCGTTTCGTATTAATTATATGAATTTTATTTACAGACTTCTGCACTACAAGGGGTTTATGGCGCATTATCCGACATTCAACCATTAATGCCTCAAATCCCTCCAGAAGCGCAGACCGGCTTCCAACAGTCGTACAACTTTGCCTACTCTTCTATGACTGTTGGGGGCCAGGGTGTTCCACATGGGGGGCCGTCTAGTCAAGTTTTCTCCCAGGACGAATACGTTCCACCCATGAGGACACAGTCACACACGGCCAGGCATCAACCCGCCCCCAACATTGGTGGGGGTAGAAGAGCTCGGGCCCGTCCCCGCGCTCAGCCGTCCGCCCAGCACCTCCAACCTGAGCAGCCCGAGCCTCAACAAGGTGAGATTTTTAAATTAGTATTTTTTTTTTTTTATAGTTCAATTTATAATTTCTTTTTTCAATCGAATTACTCAGATGAAGAAGAGGAGGATGAGCAGGCTTTTCAAACTGACACGCTTCTCACACCTCAACCTTCGTCTTCTTCTCACGTGGTATATACTCGGAGGGGGTCCAGACCGCGCAAACCTACACAACCATTCACTCCTTCCTAGTTAGTTGTGTTGAATTTGTAGATTATGTGTTTATTTTGAATTGTTGGATTGTCTGTATAAACCGAATTATATCATTTTGTATATATTGTTTGTTCGGCAAATTATTGTGTTTCAATTTTTTGTTCGGCAAATTATGGTATGATGGATTTGGTTGTGAGCAGGTATATTTTTTTGTTGTGAACAGGTGTATTTTTTCGTTGTAAACAGGTGCATTTGATGGTGAACAGGATTTTGTATAAAAACGTATTTGATTAATACGTTTTCTATTTTTTTAATACGAAAAACGTATTTCGTAAATACGTTTTGTGTTGAAATAAAAATTAGGGCAAAGAAATTCAATTTGGGGCAAAATTATAAAGTAAAACGTATTTAGCAAATACGTTTTATATTCTAAAACTTTTTATCCCAAAAAAATTATTTTCGCGAAATGAGAAAATTGATTTTATTTATAAAACGCATTTCTTAAATACGTTTTATGATTAAAAAAATAATATTAAATTAATTTTAATATAAAAACGTATTTATTTAATACGTATTGTTGTTTTTGAATATAAAACGTATTCAGCAAATACGTTTTGCTATAGGTTAATTACATTGATTACGATAATTAACTTTAATAAATTTTGTTTACGGACAACGTATTCACTAAATACGTTTTATAAGTGAAACCGTATTTAGCAAATACGGCGTATAATAGAAAACGTATTCAGTGAATACGGGTGTTCTATTTTGGTCCACTAGATTTTTTTTTCTTTCTTTTTTGTCCAGTTCATTTTTTGTTTTTTTTTTTTAAGTAAATAAATCTATTTATTTAGGGCTTTTAGGGGGTTCTATTTAAATGACTCATCTCCTATTCTTTTAATGGCTTGAATTTGATTAATAAAGATATTTAAAAATATTTCATTTGTTTTATCCCTTTCGATAAGCTTCCGTTACGTCAGTTGGTATCAGAAAACCAATACGATTCCTACACGATGCTGTCAAGATGGAACGATGCCGACGACATGCATGACGCCTCACAGAGACGTTGGGACTCCAACAAGAGGCGTTAGGACGTCAGGTACGGGGTGATGATGATGATGAACTACATTCTGGTGGAGGCCATCAGTTCAGTAGGTTTACTATTGTCTTCAAGTCCCAGTCCCTGGCCCAGGCCCGTGCTCGAGCCGAGCCAGCCGGTGGGAGATTGCGCGTGTAGCCGAAGCTATCACCAACACTTGGTGCATGACTTTATTGCACGTGGTAGGACTCTCGACCCTTCGAATCCCACAACTGCCGTTTACTTGTCCATTAATAGCTACATTAATAATTTATTTCTCACTCACCGAAAATCAATTTTAAAAAAATAAAAATACCAAGAGTATCTACTCAGAACATATAACTTTTCTACACAATTTTATTCAACTAGAATTAAATATTTAGCCATAAAAAAGTCAGTCAAACCCAAATTTTTATTTTCCAACATAGTCAAATTCTTTCCAAGAGCCGGAAACATCAACACTGTAAATATGCTTCCAGTTGAGACTATATGTTGAAAACTACTCATTTAATAAAAAATCTACTCATTTAATACTTGAGACTATATGTTGAAAACTAAATGGAGTATTGAGTTTCAGACACCAATTGATGACTCTGATCATTCTTTATAGGATAATATCCAAAAAGATGCTGCATTACTGCTGTCCAGTACTCCTTTAACAAACAAGGCTTCTTTCCAATAACTACTAAGCACCTTGCTCATTTTTTACCAAATATATTTTGTTATTAACTATAATTTCCCCACAGATGGATGCACTAAATGTTTAATGTTGACGAGGAATCATGTTTTCTTAATGAATTGAGTATCACGAGCTAAAATGAATTATTCAAGTATATAAATCATTATAATACAACACAAGGAACATAAGGAACACTGGTATCAGATGAGTAAACCATGAAGCTCACAAGCCAGGAACATCAACTACCAACTCATATGTGAGATGTTGCCTTCAAATTGAAATTGTGGTGTCACAACAAATAATGATAATTGAAATTCGGTTTAACAGCTATTCCAGAATTTATCATCCATGAGGTGGCCAGCAAATTCATAACCTTTCAGCTCCAAATCGCAAATTGGATAGGACAGAATGAAGATGGTTCTTCTTCAGTTTTCTTCTTCTGTGATTGTTTCCCCTGCATCACGTCACAAATTTTACGCAGTAGAGTTTACGACAATTTATAAACGCAAATAAACACAACTCTGAAGAGAAGTGCTTCAGTTCGAAATAAAAAGAAAAGTTGAAAAAAACATTTGAAAAAAAATCTTTTGGTGATTACACATACTAACTTCTTCTATTTCCCTTTCAAATGTTATTCAAAAGCTAATTTTGAAACTACTTTCTCTACACAAGCATGAAATATTTTATTTCCACCCTTTTTGAGCATTTAGCATCTACTTCCCAGAATTCCATATACGTTAGGAGTTACAATTGTTTGTGCTGCTTCTAAATAATTCACTTCAAAGAAAAGCTCAAGTGTTCGGACACACTTGCAACCAAAGTGCAATCCCAATTTTCTTAGCCCTCGTTCAAGTTCTGTGCAAGACTAATATTTCAACGACTTTTACGAATGTGTAACACATTCGGCAACAAAAATGATTTTTTTGTGAGACAAAAGAGCTTTCGATAGAGTTTGTGTCGTGTACTCACCAGTACTGATTGTGCAACACAAATGAATCTGCTGGTGTTAGTTTCCCATCATCATTCCTGTTCCAATGGTAAAAGGCGTGAGTTCTGTTCATTATTTCCAACGTCGAATGTCCATAACTAGCTTCACGAAAGGCAGAGTACTCTGGCTGGGGAACCCTAAATCTGCCAAGGTAATAAAAATTACGAGGGACACAAGAAATTTGACATATGGATCATATTATAATTCTTGTTTACTGTGTATGGTTACAGAACTACAGATGAAAATGGGAAATTTATGTAACATTTGTATAAGACCTTACCTATTAGCAAGTCCTTCCTGGTTTCCTCCATCCCCTACAGTTATGTAAATAGGAGCTGATTTGTCTGGAACANACAACAAAAATAAAAATAAAAAATAAAAAAATAAAGAAAAAAGAAAGAAAGATAAGGTCATCTAGAAAGGTTCATTGCCACATATTCTCAATAAATGGTAGCTACAGTGAACAATACAGCATCGTCTTTTTCTCTCTATCAAGATGCTTATTGTCACGGGAAACTTGGGTGCTGCTTTTTTTCTACTTTTCGTTCCAAAATACTCGATTTCTATCTATATCATAAGACTAAATATGTTCCATGGTAATAGTACTTTTAAAGAGAAATTTCCAGAAAAGAGAAACCATAGATATAGAGACAAACCGATCTCTCATAAGCATGGACGTGACCAGCAAAAATAACATCAACTTTATATTGACAGAACCAACTCTCGAAAACAACCCTCATGCTTTCCCCCTCCATAAAATGAGCGTCATTGCTATTGTACATTGGGGAATGCATCAGCACAATCAGCCAAGGAGTCTTCTCACGGTTGACATTTTTTAATTCCTGTTCAAGCCACCTCCACTGTGGTGTATATTTTACTGCCATGGTGCTAAAACGTATAAGCAAATTATGCATAAATATTATACGTGAAAACAAGAAGAAGCATGTGTGATGACTATCCAGTGCTAAAATGGGAAAAAAAAATTGACTCGTTCAAGTGTTTTAACTAGGTGCGCGGAGAAAAAGGTCTTCTATTTCATATCAGAAGGAAGTAAATTTATCAGATACTTAAATTACGGTCTCAAAAGTTACATATGGTTATCTACTATCAGTAGGCCTTCCACATATGAGATACATAGATAACATTATATATCAAGGACCTTTGCTATCAGAGACGCTATCCTACCCAAAAAGCACAAAAGCATTCGCAGATGGTCTATAAAGGACTAACAAGTGAGGGGGCATGTTGGAGTATCACTTGTGAGTTTCTCACATTTATTCTATAGGCTCAATGGGCCTAGTTTATAAGTCTAGTGGACTAATACTCCCATCAACAATTGGTTTTAGATGAAACCTCACTTAGATGCACCTAGATGCACCAACGTTCACCCTCGAATGGTTTGTTTCACCTCCTTGGGTTCCCTGAATCTAAAAACTCTTAACAGTCACAAACTTCATGACAGTGGCATAAGCAAATGCATTTGGCAAAATCAAGCAGGATACTAATTCTTTTGTTCTTGTAAGTGGGGGAAATCTTCAGGTTGACACTCCAACCGAATGCAGCATAAAATTTATATAACTAGGCAAGGCTATTTCATTAGAAATCTCAACCGCAACAGAGGTCATTCTCCAATTTTTTACTTCTCATAAAAAAAGAAAATCCCACCCAATTTATTATCATAAACAAAATGAATTGTGGAAAATAGTTAATGAAATTACCAAATGGAGAGTAGCTGGACAGGACAATAACATGAGCAGATCCCCTTCTTATGGCATACCATAGAGGGTTACTACTTTTGCTAGCAGGATAAGGTGTAGGATATCTCTGAAGGTAGTTTCTGAAAGGTGTAACCTCTCCCTGAATATCGAGAGCAACAAAAATAGGTGGTTTAAAGCGCAAAAGAAACACAGTAACAAAAAATAAAAATAAAAAAAAGGAAAAAGAAAAGGAAAGATCTTTTATGCTTAAGCATACATTTAAAGTCTTCTATGTGCATCGAATAGAGATGTGAAATAATTAAATTCAAATAAAATGAATCGGATAAAGATTGGAAGAAACAGAAGTTTCTTGACTGCCAACATTAAGTGCACTTGACAGGGACTTGCTCTTTTTTCCTACAGTTTTCACAAGATGTCCAAGAAGACAACTGGAACACAACCAAAAACAAAGGAAACTGATTCACAATCAATCCCAATTATTATTCAATTAAAATGCCTAAATCTGAGATAGAAGGAGACACAGTCTTCAGCGTATTCAGACTATATTTGGCAAACAAGATCGAGAAGAGTCGACAAGGACCGTGAAGTCATATGAAGTGATTATATAAATTGACCACATATTTAGCTGGTAAACATCCACATTAGCGAATAGATGTTCAAGAAAATATTCAAGAAAACATAGAAGAATTAGAACTAGTAGAGTTTGGGTCAAGAAGAGCATATAAGATGAATAAGTTGAAAACTTGAAAATTTTGGACTCTTTCTTGAAAACTAAAGGATAAATTTTGTTTAAACTAAAGGATAAATTTTGTTGTCTCCATGTATTACCAAATGTGGAAAGTACTCTATCTCATGATTTCCTGCCGACCAGATCCATGGTTGATATGCTGCACTTTTTTCAACAAAACGACCCCAGGTATCCCAGCGGACACCAATATCATGATTATCATATCTATCAGCATAGGAAAGGTCCCCAACGAATAAGATAGCCTGAGCACCAGTCTTCATACAATGATCGAGAGTTGACAGGGAATTAAACGTTTGACCAAGATCACCTACAACAACAAAAAAGACATCTTTAAGAAAATAGAGTCTCCCTGCAAAATACTTAAATAGCATTTGAAACAGCATGAATCCAAGTGCATGATATGTCAATATTTTGACAATAACTAAACTTAAAGGTGTCTAGCAAAGTTGTATCACAGAAAGAGATATTTTGGCTCATAAGTATTTCAAAAATATTGTCAGATATTATGCTAAAAAATTTAAGAGGCGAATTTAGAAGCTCCCATACCATATAGGGTGTTATAAACTCATTATAAAAGAAAATAACGGTCAACTCCTTACAAATTTGATTACTATCAACTTCTAACATCTTGAATATTAGATTTTGCTTTTGTAGCTTATTTTCAAATGAGATCTTAAATCTTATAAACTCCAAAGATATATTATAGAATGTCTATATTTTCAAAATATCTACATGAATTTATCCAAGAAACTGCAATTGAAGATATTTCTCCTATGACTACTATTTGCTTTATGAAACATCTTCCATCCAAAAAACTATGACCATGTTTGATAAACAAATTTTTTAGTCTAAATTAGAGGCATGGCTTATCAAAACCTCTAATCTGAGTGTTTGGACAGATGATTCAATTAGTTTATTTGATCCAAAAAGATTATTTTGAGAAGGCTGGGTATACCAAAAATCAACATGTTAAACTTGGCATGTATATTTTTTTGATTTCTTTTTATCTAAGTTTTATTTGATCGTTAGTGTGTTGCGCTTTAATTTAATTGATTACTCCATTTTTTGAATTTATTGCAAACTAATTGGAATTCGTTTTTTGGTGTCTTAAGACTTTAAATTTTAGAATATTTTTATTCCATTTTTGTCATTTATATTTCCTTATGTTTCTTACAATATGATATATTATTTACTAGCTCATACATAAATTGTTAAAGTTATTCATAAATTTAAATGAGTGAATAATTTTATAATGACTGTTTTATATAGCATCCACTTAAAGTAACATATTTTTTTGTGCATGTAAATGTAATTATACATTTATTGAAAAAATCATCATATTTATCAATGCTATACAAAGTAATACAGTTCGTAACTTACGTCGATATCGGTATTAGTTTGACATTTAAGTAGTTACTAAACACTACATAAATTGCTAACGCAATCAACTAGTCAAACCAACTAATCAAATAAGCTATCAGACATTTACTCAATAGGAATGTATTTGAAGATCACGTTCATGCTCTCTACAATGTCCTTGAAAATACTTAGCTTTGTATCAATGTGTTTGAATTTTCTGTAATAATTGGGATATCGTATACGCAATAGGTGCATGGTTAATATAATGTATTTTCATAGTTTCCACTAACGTGGTTGTGATACCCAAATGTTTCAGGAATCTCCTAAACCAAATGGACTAGTTTATTTAGGATCCCTCTTATATGTAATGGTAGTTTGGTTATTTACAATGTACTGTAACAACTCCAACTAATGTACTCATGATAAGATCTTGGATGTCTGATCATGCATGCACACAGATAAACATTCATTAAGTTAGTGAGGATTGATGGAAGTTGAAATGAATCTGTATTCAAAATGGTATCTCCTGCAAACCCTTTATAAGTTATAACCTCGAAAATAACCATCTTATCAGTGATGAAATTTTGTCAGCGGGAATTGAGAGCAAGAGAAAAACGGCGAGTTCTTTGCAAAAATTGAAGACATGTTTCAAGGCACACACAAGAGACACCTGAAGTTTAGCATATAAACACAATCCTTGTGGGTTCTTTTGGACTCCACGAATCACGCTTGCAGGATGATAACCTGGTTGAATAATTCCGTATGAAATGTAAGTATTCTATGTTTAGTTAGAACTCGATTCATATGTGATCACATGAATATGGAGCTAACCATCAGTTCATAAGTGTGAACATATGAACATGGCCCGAGAACGGACACCAGGTTAGCTCGTGGAGCCCAATAGACATAAAGGATTATCCAAAGCCACTTGTGTTAGTGAAAGTGAGTTTAACTAAATCACTTCAGAATGATATGTATATGATTCTTGTTAGATTCACAAATACATAAACTTTCTACAAAAGTGATATTCGGCCTAACGAGGCAATAGTTGTCTTAAATGTCCTTTCCAAATATAGTGAAGGTTAAAAACGATTCAGGAGAATAACACTAGTTGGCAACAATAACTTACCATAATAAGATTAACTTAAATGTAAAAACGCAAGGTAGATTAACCATGTCATAAATGTTCATGGTCAAAATATGATGTTAAAGTTGCTTTAAAGACTCGAGACATGTAAACAATATCCATTCCTTTCCAGCAACTGCAATTTCTGATCATCTTATTAGTGAGATCTTACTTAATATAGAAGACAACCAACACAATTTACTGAATATGTACTGTAGCCACACAATTTACTGAACATGTACTGCAGCCACACAATTTAGGAAGTGAGTGGAGGACAGTGGATGCGGACGAAAGTATGTTTTTAGTTCCAATTAAGTAGGTGTAGTTAACCTAGCCCCTTGAAACTATATTTTATGCTTCTATTTACTTGTCTTGTTCCTAGTGTCTTACGCTCTCGCTGCCTTTGAAAAATCATTTTTTGGCTCAATACTAACCCCGACCTACAAGTTTCAATATACCTATTAGAAACATTACAAAAATCCAACAGGTAAAGAAGACTACATGCTTCGCTTCCCTAGTTTGTGGAACACTAACCCTAGCAAGTATCAACCTTGAATGGAAACGCAAAACCAAATTCTGTAGCATATGAATAAATTTCTCAATGTAAGCCTGCAGCTAAGCTTTTATGGAATATCTTGCTTAGTGTTGGGCTGGTTGGCCTATTTGCCAATTTATTTGTATTCTTCACAACGCAAATGAAAGGGAACTCAACTTAATATAAATGCTCATGCACAGAGGGAGAAATCATTAAAAGTCATAGTGTGCTTAAAAAGTTTATCAATGAAACTAAAAAGTGGATGCGCCAAAANAAAAAAAAAAAAAAAAAAATTGTGATGATTTTTTAATTTTTCAACCAACTGATTTTGTTTCTTTTTCCTTAGGGAGAGGAGTGCAGCATTTAAAGAAAAATCTGAGTGGAACGATCCTAGCTCCAAGTATTTACATAACAGATCACAGATGCCCAACCATAAAGAAAATGTGACAGATATTGTGCAAGTACTGTGAGGCATATTTATTAGTTAATCACACTATACAACGATACGCCGTGCTTGAAATTTCATTAAACTCTACTTTACCTATAGCACGAACGCGGATGATTGCTCATTCTTCAATCAAGGAAAAAAAGACGAACTTACCAATTATTCCAAATTTGTAAGACGCATCTGGATTGATTTGCGGGGGTGTTTGAAACCAAAACTTTCTTGACGAATCACCATCCCCAATTTCATAGTAATACTTAGTGTCATACTGCAAAAAACAAGTTCCTTGAGCTTTCAGTTTCTATCGATTTTTTAAAAAAGAAAAGGAAGGAAGGCATTTGTAATACTTAAATTAACATATTTGTGCCTCTGCTACTCTGAACATAAAGACTAAAAGGCTTGTTTCCATGAATACAATCCAGACATCAGTGTTCTGCAAAATTTCACACTAACCTGAAGACCATCAACAAGAGCCTGATGAAGATAACCAGACTTGTAATTGTAGAAGGTGTAGTTATGCACTGTCCCCTCTGCAGTAAAATCATAATGTCCTTCTGATAAGCCATATCGAATTTTGTTGGACCCAGGCTCATCAGTTGTTACCCATGAGATTATAACAGCTTTCCCGTCATAGTCACCCTGCGTAATGTGCACCTGGAAATAAAACAATCACCAATCATTTCGTGTGACATGATGACATAGTATAGAAATTCATGCTTTCAATAATGGCATATTCCCTCCAAACTTGCACACTTACTTGTTGTGGAGCGTTATAGCCTTTAGGAACTGCAAACGCCTCATTGTCAAGAGGTATATCAACTGATGGCCACTCAGTCCGAATAAAAGCACTCGTAACACCAGCACTCCCAATGCATATCAAAGACAATAGAACACATGACAACAGCAGCAGTCTAACCATCATTGATCTCTCTCCCTGTGTTCTCCTGAATAATCAAAATGCGAAATGCGAACATAACATGAAAATTTATGAATATTTGAGATTCCCTTCTTCTTCTTCTTTTTATTTGTATTTCTTATTTTAGCAACCTTGAATTGCAAAACAACACTTTATCAACAAAAGGATTGATAATTTCTCACATGACTCGGAAGAGTCCATGGAATACTACACCACACAGCACCAAAATCATAATACTCCATTAGATAACATAAAGGCATCAGCATTTACATGCCCCACCTCATAAAGCAATCAATTTGATTCATATTCTAAAGAAAGTCAAGTGTACGACTCAGAACAAACACATCATCTCCATCCAACTGTAAATCTGCACTAGCCAATCAAAATTTACAATAATAAAAATAACAGAAAAAAACAATTTGATCTTCCCCCACAGAGAAGTCTAAATCTCTTTTTCATCATCAGCAAAACACATTTTTTTCCTCCTCGCAAGAAAAAATACGCACGTCGGAATCTTTTATCAAATTTGGACAATACATTTGCTGATGATATGCTTCGGGGGAGATACATTGATCTATAAATGCCTCAAAATCACGCACACCAAACGCATCAAATTACGCATCTAGTGAGAGAATGATTGTACCTGAAATTGTAAGCTAAGGCTGGTAGCTTTGATCTTAGATAACGGATAATGATTAATCATTAATGTCTATATATAGGATAGACAAGGGAGATGGCGTAGATCGATTAGGTGGGGTATGCTATAATTGAAGCCCATAAACTGTTTGTTTACAAGAATTTTTAAAAAAATTTCTAACATTTTAACTCAATCATTTTTTTTTTTGTTTAACTTTAATTCAATCCCACTATCATCAATATTATCAATATAATAAAATAATATTAATCAATTATTTATACACACCACATCAACCTTAATTCACTATTTATCCACTCACATTATTTTAACTAACCATCACTTCAAATCTCTCTCTCCTACTTTTACATCAAATTAATTTTAATTATTTTATTTTAAATAATATTTTAATATATCCACTAACACCTAACCATACCACATTTTTTAAAATTAACCAAACCAAACCAAAAAATCCAAATAAAACCAAAAATTTCCATAAAGAAACATGCTCTAACAAGTTACTTTTAGCCGCTCTTAATTTTGGTAAAATCTGTAGACAAGGGTCTAGTTTACTTTTCACGATGGGATAGGATATGGTCGGATAACTCCTATTATCCGACGTTTACAAATATGATGGGATGAGATAATACGTTGATGTGTCACGCGGATTCCACACGGTTGGGATCAATTGGCCGATTATTTTGTCTCAGGTGGGACATTTTAATCGCACCTTCAAAAAGATATTTTTTTTTTTCAAATTTTCACATGTGAAATGTCATTTATACCCTTGCAAGTTGCAAGTCCATCTAATTACAAATTAAGGTCATATAAATTTGTTGGGTTGCCATTCTTCTGTGGTAATAATTGAGTGTAAATGATTGTCCCACTTGTTTATTGATTGACAAAGTTGGAATTAATAATTGAGTGCAAATAATTGATCGTCACTTGATCATAATTATTGCAAATAATTGATCCCCATAATTGAACCAACTTGATTAGAAATTCCTCTCTATAAATAGATGTTTTCATTTGATGAAGAACACAGAAGAAAAGGGAGAAAAATATAGATAGATAGGAAATGAGAAAGGGAAAAGCAGCATAATAAAATAGTTGAATGATAAAAATATTAATGAGAAAAATAGAGAAAAAATTATCATAGGGATAATTTAATTCCTATTTTTCAGTGCTCAATTCTCGACTCTATTCCAGTTCGCCGGATCTTGAAAATCTGGTGTGCTACAAATTTTGAGACGACCGCCGTTGTATATTTGGGGACGTTACGCCTGAACCGTTAGCACTACACGGGGCGTATTCGTCTTGTGGAAAGAGTTTACTCGCCTCGGCCAAAATTTTTTCGTTTTTTCAAGTTATAATTTATTTTCAGTTCTATTGTAATTTTCTATTTTTTAGATCATTTGTAAGAACTGAAAAATATATATCAACTCGTAGGACTCTCGTGTAATTTTTACACAAAGTTTCTAACAATCGCAAGACGAATATTTCAACCTATTGAACTGATGGCATCCACCGGAGATGGTTCCTACACTCAATAATCGATTAACCACACTGTTCATCATCCCGTACATGCTGTACATGTCCCTACTACTGAAAAGCCCGAAAAATTCAATGGGCTTGACTTCAAGAGATGGCAACAGAAGATGCATTCTACCAAACTACTTTTGGTTTGGTGAAGTACCTGAAGGACGACCCCCCCGGTCATTGCTGAAAATGAAACCAATGCAGAACTACGCGCTGCGTACAAGGCTTTGCGGCAAGGTGATTACCTTTGCCGTAACTATGTCCTGAACAGACTTAGTAACGAATTGTACAATGTCTACAGCTGGATTGGTTCTACCAAAGTGCTTTGGGCTGCTTTGGAGAAGAAGTACAAGACTGAGGATACCGGAGAAGTTTGTGGCAAGTTTCTTGACTTCAAGATGATCGACTCGAAGACAGTCATGTCTCAAGTGCAAGAGTTCCAACTCATCTTGCACGATATCCATGCTAAAGGAATGTCTCTGAGCGAGTCATTCCAAGTTGCGGCTGTGATAGAAAAGATGTCGTCGGGTTGGAAAGACTTCAGGAACTACCTCAAACATAAGAGGAAGGAAATGAGTCTTGAAGACCTGGTTGTGCGTCTTCGTATTGAGGAGGACAACCATAATTCATCAGGGAAAATCCTGATGATGGAGGTCTGTGCTAACTTGCTGGAGCAAGGCAACTCGAGCAAGAGGAAGTCCCTTGACAAAGAGAAGCAACCAGTCAAGGGTTAGAAGTTTACCGGCACTTTCTACAACTGTGGAAAGCCGAACCATATGGCTAAGGATTGTAAGAAGCCTAAGAAGGCTGGGCAAAAGAAGGCGCAACCGAGTGCCCTTTGAAAATTTCGGGGGAGTACTAAATTCGCACTGATACTAAAAAACAATGAACCTTCCTGTAAAATTGCGGAAGCGAATATTAAAAAACGAACTTTCAGGAGAACGTCTCACTCTCCCTCAGAACTCTTTCATTAAGCAAGTGTTTGACCAACAAGTACAAATAGGATTTACATGCACGGACTCCCTCTAAGCTAACCTACTTTGTACTCCACCTACCTAACTACTTTTCTGGCCACGACGTGGACTTACGAACTGCATATATGGATCCCTCCAAGCAGTATGAAGATGCTCGTCCCAAGCACCAAGTAGAAACAAAAACAGGACTAACAGCTCGAATTACCAGCAATGAACCTTCACGCTGGAATCCGATCACTCTATAAAATATAATCAAAAACTCACGAGCTCTCTATGAATATAATTCTAAACTCTCTGAATGAATAATGAAATGGATCGTTCGCAATTGGAGCTCGTGAAACTAATATATATACAACTATATAAGGTATGCAGGTTCATCAGAAATCTGGAGTTTTCAAATTTACTTAATCTTCTCGTTCAGCTTTGGAAACTCAATCTCCATGCCTTGTATGTCTTCATGCACGAATATTCTGTCCAGATCTTCCAGATTTCATCTCGCTTCTCTCTCTTCAATCGTGCAATCTTTCTTTCCTTATTTCCATGCGAACCTTTGGAAATATCTTCTTGCCGATTTCTTTCCTTTTCTCGCTCGATTTTCCAGCCTTCTTCTACAAGATTTCAGCTCCCAAATCTCACAAGAATATCTCCCTTTTATCATCTTTGCTCTTCCTTTTCCTACAAGTAAAATAAATACTATAACATATAGTAAGAGAATATCAAAATAAGGAAAGTGAATATATATAAAATCTCCTAATGAATCTAATATATTACCTTTACCTACAAGCTAAAGGAAGATAAATAAATCCAAATATACAATAGGAGAATAACTAAAATATGGAAAGTTAAGATTAGAAAATCTTCCCTTTCTCTTTAAGCATTAATTCTATGAAACCTATTTCAAGAAACACAAATATGATAATTAAATAATATTTTCGATTAATGCCAAATTATATTTTCTTACAATCTCTCCCTTTGGCATATAGATCGAAAACCCGTTTCTTGAAATAGAACCTGCAAAAGAAAAGTCAAGCTCGCAGCAACGTAGATGAACCAACATAGGTCATCTAAATATAAATTATCAATCCATAGAGCATAAGACCATAAAATCAGAGTATAACAGGTCAAATAATCAAAACATCAGAGCAACTCAAAACAGAGCAAGATGACAATACTCAGAGATGAACTATCAGAGCAAAAGCAGTAACAAAACTCAGATGAATAATCATAACAAACTGACTTCTCTCTCCAGTTAATCAGAGCTAAAGCAAGAACTCGATTCATAACAATCCACTAATTTCTCCAGTCAATCAGAACTTGCATTTTCACCCTTTTGCATATTTTTCCCCCTCTTTCCGATCTAAATGCCAAGGATTTAGCAGTTGTTGCTCCCAAACTTGACGTCAGACCAGAAATGAGAGATGTAGGTACATCTAGATTCAAGGATAGAAAGATATAGAATAAGAAAAGTAGTAAAGAAAAGAATTCTGGTTGTAAAGAGAGACAATGAGATAGATAGTAAGACAAGAAAAATATATGGTTCAGAGTCACATGAATAACAAAAGAAGAATGATGGTTCCAACTCATAAACACACTTCACAGTCAAGACACGAAACATTATTATATAAGGAGATAAAATCAAGGGTTAGACAAATAGTCAAGATAACGTACCCAAAATAATTTCGTGCATGAATTCTTTTTCATTCAATCCTCATAGGAAATCATGCATAATGCCTAAATATGATATAAATCGCACACAAAAAAAAAAAATAGAAAAAATCAAACACATAAAATCACAATGTTCGCATACGCAAGTGATTGAAATAATCCTATAATTCGAAAAATCTTTCCAAGCAATCCTTATAACTGCGGACACTAAAAAATATAGGCGGATGAACATAATTAAGTGCAGCATCATATATCTCCCATAAAATTATAATTAAGCGGAATTCATCTGACACTTTTCACTTAGTAATAATCGTAATTTTTCAACGAAAACTAACCCCACTACTTCATGCCACAAAGACTTCTACACCACGTTTCTCTTAGCAATAACCGGAGTTTTCCATCCAGAAATCTGCCTCAATACTTAGTGGCATAGTCATCCCATTCAATGAACTTCCGCACCCTGTTTCACTTACTAACAACAACTATACGCTGAAATCAAGCCCATTACTTTGGGGTACGGTTGTCCCGCAATGTAACACTTAATATTTTAGCCTGCTTGCTGCACTTTTAGAATTTTTTACAAAGTGTCCAACCTTATGCAACAGATGAACTAACATCGATCATGAGAGCAATGACTGCAAGTAGCTTTCACACCTCACGCATAAGCACGTAATTCGTTTCACAGGTGATCACAAGTGAAACACCTCATGTGATAGTTGCCCACTGCTCATTTTGTGAGAGTAGCTCTTTCTCGCAGAATTAAATGGTCATTGTGCCGCAGAAATAAAAGAAAACTTAGTCCAATCAATCAAACATCAAACCAAGTCAAGAGCACCCCATGTATACGTTCAGAATGATTCTATGGTGCAACAACGCAATGTTCAAAATATGCCCAATGCAATAAATCTATATGAACCATGCAATAGATAATAATGTACTTACATATATAATACAATATAAT